CTTTGCCCATGTTTAGTTGATTTTGGTCCGCGAGGCACAGGAGTCGCCCAGTGCCCGTCCGGCTCGCGCTTGCCCGGGCGCTGTCTCTCTGGATGGAGCTCAATGTACTGCAATGGCTGTGAGTGGGAGCCAGACTCAGCCTCGAGCGGGCTATTTTTTTTACAAGAAATATTTATTTTTAAAATTTTACACATATGAATGTTTTGCCTGCGTGCATGTCTTTGTACTGTGTGCATGCTTGGTACCCAGCGAGGCCAGATGAGGGCGCTGGATCTCCTGGAGCTGGAGTTACAGGTGGTAGTGAGCCTCCATAGGGGTGCTGAGAACCTAACCCTCTGCGAGAGCATTCTGCACTGCAGGCCATTCTCCAGCCCTGCGGCTGGCTGCTTTATCAGCATGCTTTGGTCTACCCCTCCTGGACCTTACTGCCAGTAACAGCTGACTGACACACGCCTGGGGACTTTTGCTATTGGCTTGGAGGACTCAGTGGACCCTCAGAGTTATAAGAATGCTTATGGAACAAGCTGAGTACCTGGGAACCTTTGGAGCCTTGTTTACAGGACCCATTCCCACAGTCCTTCTCGTCACCACCAGGGGGCAGTGCTGACCAAGCTGTTCTTGAGCTCCCCTGAGCTCATTCAGAAGTTTCAGGATGGAAGGGATGTATTAAGGTAGATGTAGATTATGTGGCCTTTGGGAATTCACGTGGTGGCACTTTCTGTCTGTGCACAGAGATATGTAACAGCCACCCCAGCTCTTCCAGATACTTCTCAAGCCCTATACTTACAGAGGAGCCTCCTCCTGACTTTCGTATCTGGGTGGTTGTACCTAAATTTTGTGTATGTGTGTTTGTGTGTGTGTGTGTGTGTGTGTGTGTGTGTGTGTGTGTGTGTGTGTGTGTAGCAGTGTATGAACATGCAGGCATGTGTGAGTGAATATTCTGGATCTTTCATGACATCTACCTCACAGTCTTGAAGTGATAAACTGTTTTGTAGAGTAGTACAGTGGTCCCTTGGTCTCTATGGAGACTAGTGGTCTCTAGGATCCATGTGGATGTCATCATCATCCACAATGACCACCACTTACAGCTTGTTTTTCTTTTTGAAACATCTCCTGTAGCCCAGGCTGGCCTCAAACTTGGTATGTAGCTCAGGATTGCCTTGAACACAGCTTCCTGTGACATTTCCCGAGGGCTGGGTTCACAGGTACATGCCACCATGTCTGACTTTCACATTGCCAGGGGCAGAACCCAGGTCTTTGTGTGTTATCCAAGCCCTTCACCAAAGGAGTCATATTCCTAGCCCTAGTTCTCAAATTTAACCTATGTGTGTTAATGTTCAACCTATGTATGTATCCGGGGGAGAAAGGCAAACTTTAAACCATCTGTAAGTGCTTTGGAATTCCCAATGCTATGTAAATGCTATGCAAATAGTTATTAGACTATATCGTTTAGGGAACAATGACAGGTCTGTATGTATTCTCTGAGGGAGAAATTCCTCTCCCTTTATGAGACAAGGCCGGGTGGTCATGATTCTTCTGCCTCTGTCGAGGCATGCACTGCCCCACGTCAAGGCTGTAGATGGGCAACCTTTACGTGTGTGTGTGTGTGTATTGTTACAGTGCACATGTGACAATCAGAGGATAACTTGTGAGAGTTGGTTCTCTTCTTTGACTGTGTGAGTTCCGGGATTGGATTTAAGTCATCAAGCATGGTCACAAACACCTTTACCCTCCCAATCTCTTGGTAGGTCCTCAGATGAGCAAAGAGGCTATTATACCACCCTGCTTGCACCTGACAGACTCTTGCTAGCCACTTCTGTGCCCTGGTTGTTTAATGAGCTAGCATTCTGGCACTACAGACCCCCCACTATCTTACGTGATGACGCAGGGGACCTAGAACATTGATAGCTGGGCTCAATGGAGCTCGACTGCCCACCAGTGTCTCTGTTCACGCTGGGCTCCAGCCTCTGCTGGACTGAACACAGGCCTGGGCCCTCAGGCAGTCTGCAGTTTGCTTACCAGTCCAACTCCTTCTCAGAGAAGGAGGCATCTGTGAGGTGGTCCACACAAGAGCAATGATGGGCACTGGACAAGTTGAGGGCTCACTGCCACCGGGAGGCTCCAGGAGGTGACAAGTTGGCCCTGGGTAGGGAAGCATCGGCGAGCTTCAGGGTGACTGGAAGAGGCATGGAAACCTCAGAAGGTGCTCAGACAATTTGCTGGCCCCATCCTGGGCTTGTAGGTTCACAGGGCCTCCATGCTTCCTGCAATACTGACTATAGCCAGCAGAGGCCGCCCCAGTCCCTGTCGCAGTTCTTTCGGATGCCCTGTATTACTCTGTAGAACAGAGCCTGTCCTGCCCTGGGAGCACGGCTTCCCAGGCAACAGCTTTGCTGGGATGATGGCACATAGGGCATCATGGGAGGCCTCCAGCGGGCACTCAAGTGGCCTGTCAGCTGCAATTTGTGAAACTCCTACTATGTGTCAGCTCAGTCAGCTAAATACTGACAAAGAGCCAGTAAGGGACACTGAAGAGGGCACAGCAACACGGCCATGAGGGCGTGAGGGCAGAAGCTTTTTTTTTCTGGCGGGGGCAAGATCTGATGTAGGGCAAGCTGACCTCAAACTTGCCATGTGTTGAAGGATGACTTCGAACTCGGTTTTTTTTTTTAAATTAGTCTGTGTGTGTTGAAGGATGACTTTGAACTCAGCTTTTTTTTTAAATCAGTCTGTGTGCACACATACAATGTATATTATGGGTGTGTAGGTCAGAGGGCAACTTTTGGACTTGGTTCTCTCCTTCTTCCTTCGTGTGGGTTCTAGAAATTGAGCTCTGGTTGCCAGGGTCATGTGGCGAGCAAGCACCTTTACCCACTGAGCCATCTAACAGGAACTGTTTATGTGCCTTGTGCCTCAGTTTCCCCTTCTGTGAAATGGGAGTGGTTCCAGATAGACAGACCCTTTCTGAAGACCTCCCCCCACCAAGGACCATCAGTATTGGACTTACATCAGGAATGGCTATGAGAGCTGTCTAGGAGGTATGGGAAGGTAGGAGTTGTCTACATAAGACAGACCAGCAAGAGGAGGAACATGCATTTCTCCTTAGCATATATTCACCGTACAAAGCAATGACTTCGCCATGCCACTTTCACACCCATTTGTAATGTGCTTTGATGATATTTAACCCCCATTGCCTGCTCCTGCTCTCTTTTCCCCATCGGTCCCCTTCCTCTTTCCAAAGAGTTCCTCGTAGCTGAGCATGGTGGCTCACGCCTGTGACCCCAGAACTTTGGAGACTGAGACAGGAAGATTGCTTTGACTTCCAATCCAGCCTGGGATAAGGACTGAAATCTGTCTCAGGTCCACAAAGCTCTACCCACAAAGGGTCCCTTGTGCCTTCAAGTGTTCCTTCCTTCCTTTGCCGCTCCCAGGGACTGAACCCAGGACCTCATGCATGCTGGGTAAGCACCGTATCACTGAGCTACGTCTCCTAGCACTATGGGTCTTACTTTCTAAAATGTGCATTCTGTATAGGAGAGAAAACCGATGACGTTCATCTTTCTGAGCCTGGCTCAGCTCATTTAACATGATCTCCAGTTCTGACCATTTCCCTGCAAAGGACATAACTCCGTTCTTTATGGTTGGTTAAAACTGCACTGCCCATACACACCTTTCCCTCCTCTGTTGATGGGCGCCTCAGCTGACTGCACAACTCGACCGGGGCAAAGAGTTCTCCGGCACCTCTGCGGCAAAGCGCAAGCATTTAGTATGGATGTAAAGTTTTATGATACCTGGAGCCTTCCAGAAATAAAAGCCCAGATGGAGGAGGAGCACACAAGGACCCACACTAAGCTGAGGGGTTCTTGGTAATCACTGAGGGACGGGGAAGCAGCTTCGCTCAGGGTGTAACCACTAAAAAGTTGCCTGAGATCCATTCAGTAACCCCACACACATGCGTGCATCTACAGGCAGGCAAGCTTAATTAAACTCAGTGGGTCATAAAAAAAAAAAAGGAATGGAAGCTGGAGAGGGATTTGTTGGGAAGAAGAAAGGGTCCAGATGGGGTAGGAGGGAACAAGGGAGGGACGGGGTTATTATAATCAAAATACATCATACATGGGCTTACTGATCCTCCAGAGGACACACATGTCGTCAGGGCTCACAACTGCCTGTAAGTCCAGCTCCAAGCCTCCAAGGACACCTCACATATCACATATTCAGGTGTAGCTACATACAGACACATACAATATACATAATAAAATTAAGGTTGAAAAGTACACTATATGCATGTGTGAAACTGCCAAAGAATAAATTTAAAAAGTATTTTAAAAGAAGAAAAATGAAGACACAGGTCTGGGAATGTAGCTAAGTCAGTAGGGTAGTTTGTCTAGCAGGTATGAAGCCCTGGTGTGTGTGTGTGTGTGTGTGTGTGTGTGTGTGTGTGTGTGTGTGTGTTATTTTTTAAATTAGAAGCTCATTTGTTTTTGGTTTTTGTGGGTGTGGATATGCCCATGCCATGACACATATGTGAAGGTCAGAGGACAACTTGTGACAGTCATTTCTCTCCATCCACCATGGAAGTCCCTGGGATTGAACTTGGGTGGTCAGGTAGGCAACACATGTCTCTACCCAAAAAGCCATCTTACCAGTCTCTGAGTCCCAGTTTAGACCCCCAAGAATTGGAGAGTGGAGGCAGGAGGATTGGGAGTTTATGGTTATCCTCAGATGTGTAGTGAGTTCAAGGCAAGGCTTAGGTTATATAGGACCTTGTTTTTTTTTTTTTTAAAAAAGAAAGACCTAGAGAAGGAGGAAGTCTGTGTGTTTGTACGCTGGTTTGAAGCTGAGCCCAGGAGTGACTATTATACGATTATAGTGAAGAATATTGGGGCAATGATGGGTGTGAACGAATGGTGATGAGCTGGGCGGGGCCTAGCAAGAGCAGTCGTTCAGGTTCTCCCCTGCCCTGATGTCAGTGGTAAGATGGACTGAAGGGCTCACAGCTGGCTTCATGGGAGAAAGGTAGGGTACAAGTAACTGAGGGCCCTTCTGTTTCTGCCGCTTCCCAAATGTAGGGAACCTGTTTGGAATGGCTGTACCGAGCCTCATCAATGTAGTAGCTAAATTCACCTGGATGTGGGTGTCTGGGCTAGCCTGCCTTTCCCACCTCCTGGCTGCTGGCCAGCGCAGGCTACAGGTCCTGCCTGTGGGGCCACACGGCCTGCCTACAGGTGGACAGCTAACCCAGTAATTTTCTATAAAGGCTAAAGTCCCAGAGCCAGCACCTTGGTAAGGCGCCGCACATACCTGTGACAGGGAATGTGGTTTATCAAGAAGGAACTCTCGGTTCCAGCCTTGGGCAGCCATTCAAGGCAGCCAGTGCCACAGATAAAGCCCAGCAAGGGAGGAGCAGCCTGCCCTGCCTGGAGACTGGTGTGCCTGCCAGGAGGTGCCAGGAGCCTGAGCCTCTCAGATTGGGCCAGCCAGGGCATTGGGCCAACTGCAGTTTTTAGTATTCACAGGCCTCCGGCTCCAGTGATTGGGGCTCACTCTTTGGCCTTGGCAGAAGTCATATATTAAGTGCAGAGACAAAGGGTGCCCAGCGAGGGTGTGTCAGGAAGAAGAAAAGTCCAGGGGTTACAGCAATATCTGATGTAACCAGGGCTCGACTGATGTCACCCACCTTCCTCTTGCCTCTTCTTCTCTCTTAGGCACCGCATGCTGACTGGAAGAGGTCCTCAGACCAGTGCCTCCTGGTTCCCTATTTTATACCTTGGACACCAGAGCTAAAGAAGAGGAAGTGATCTGCAAAAGGTAACACAGCAGACACAATTTGGGTCTCCAAGTCTCCATGTCCCTCCTCACTCAAGGGCACTGCCATTTACAGGTGACCCAGGGACGTACTGAGGACTATTCATCCTCCCTCCCTCCCTCCCTCCCTCCCTCCCTACCTCCATCTCTCCCTTCCTTCCTTTCTCTCGCTATTTTTCTTTGAGACAGGGTTTCTCTGTGCAGCCTTGGCTGTCCCAAAACTCACTCTGTAGACCAGGATGGCCCAGAACATACACAAATCTGCATGCTTCTGCTTCCCAAGTGCTGGGATTAAAGGCGTGCACCACCACCGCCTGGAACAATTCATTTCTGTAAAGTTCCGAAGAAGTTACTGATTGTGGCCTTGGTCAGGAGTCTCAAGAGGGACTCAGGCTGGTGGTGGTGTGTGATGGGAGCATGCAGAGTATTTGTAAGCCTCTAAACCAACCTTGCCACCCAGGCAGGCTCAACTGCACAGGTCCCAGGATTTAGTTCATTCAGTTTAACCTGCTTTAGCAGTGCTGCACACCTGCTGTATGTGGGGTTGCCATGGTGAACCATGCTGCCTGCATATCGGACTTCCTGCATGCTCTTTGAAACTTCCGAGGCCCAGGTCTCACTCCAGATCAGGGGCACCAGCGTCTTTGCACAGGGCTGGAGGAGGGCACAGGGGTTTACTACCATGCTGTGGGTGATTATAATTCACAGATAAGGGCTGAATAGAAGTCAAAGAGAAAGAACTCTATGCTACAGTCCCAGTCACAGTCCCTGCTTCCTTTTCCCAGGGCAGCCTGCTGCAGCAGGTCTCCTGTGAGCCACAAGACATCAAGGGGAAAGTCCCGGATATCGTCATGCGTGAGAGCATCTCATTAATCATCAACCCTGTAAGGTGATCTCCAGCCTATAAAAGGGGAACCATCAGAGTCTTGAAAACCTTACCACTGGCCTTCACAAGCATCTCTAGACCCAAGGACTTGTGCCCCAGGAGGAGCCGAGGATAATGGGTGCCCGCCTCAGCCCTGAGGCCAGTGAGTAGACTTCCTTTTTGCCTTGAGCTCACTTGTGGAGTCCAGACTGCAGGGACTACGGGTGGGAGGTCTGGAAAGGGGAGAATGGAGACCTTGAGGTGATCATCATCTAGAATGGGTTTCTTCCAAGGTCTGACCTGCACAAGGGAGTGAGCTTCCTTCCGGTCTTCCCAGGAACCAAGCAGAAGTTGGGTGACTCAGGTCCAAGATGGCTGCTGAGAGAAACACCCCTTTCCCCCACCCGCTGTCTGTAACCAGTGTTTATCCAGGAACTGAATACAAAGAGAGAAACAGGATTGGGGTGGGTAGAAAGGTAGAGCTTAGGACATCTGGTAGAAAATGAGGGATTTCAGTTTTGCCAAATAAAAGATGGAACCAGGGGCAAATTATTTTGTCATCTGAAGGTTGGGGACAATGGTACCCAACCTGATGGCCTTTTGGGCTTCAAATTCAGAAGTCTAAATAGTAGTGAGACAGGAAGTCTCTCTGGGACACTTACCTGTGCCTGTGGTCACGGTGTCCCTTCGTGGAAGGACCTGGGTGAGTGGGCAGGAGACAACAGTCCAGGTTTTAGCATAGAGACTGGGACCATGCACCTTGGAGCAGAACCCCTGCTTAGGGCCCCATGGCAAGCACCCAAGGCTCACTCGGTGGACAGCCACACCCTGAGCCACCTCTGCTGTGGCAGCTGTGTTTGGATTCAAGGCAGGGCAGTAATGCCAAAAGGGATGTAGTGTAACAGGTGCAGGTGTGTGTGTGTGTGTGTGTGTGTGTGTGTGTGTGTGTGTGTCTGAGTAAACAGTCTCTTTGGGACTGGGAGGACTGGAAGAGATCTTTCCTGAGCCTGTTCCCCCCTCTCCCACAAGCTCTGAGTGCCTCCCTACAGGATGCAGGGGGAACAGGAGGCTGCAAAGGGCTGAATGGGTGCGTGGAACCCCAAAAGCCTCGGGGACCGGAGGGGTGGTACTGAAGATGCTGACAGTTGGGCGGTCATCACGGAGCAGGCAGCTGATCATCCATTCCTAAAATTCCCAGAGTGTTGCTTGTAGAGGCTGTAATTTGCCTTCATCTGTCCCTAAGGACATGACTTGTGTATCCCAACCTTCCTAGCAGTACAGTCCAGGCCAGCAAGGCCCCTCCCCTACAGCAGTGGGGAGCACACAAAGGTGGGGTCATTGAAGAGGGTCCTCCACTTGCTGTGTCCCACGGAGCCCCAGGATCTGACCTGAAAATGGGCCTAGAACAAGGACGACAGCCTCTCGGCAACCCTGAGCCAGCCCTGCCACCTGGGACAGACCCAATGAAGGAGCTGTGTTCAGCTCGTGCCCACTTCGGCCCCTCCCTGACCCAGTGGGGTCTGTCTGGTTGCTCAGTCAAAGGGTGGGAGGGTTCCCACAAGACTCTGTGGAAGAAGCGAGGCAGGATGCAGACGGTGTCCACGCCTTCAGTGCCACTGGGGCCCAGCTCTGAAGTCAGGAAACAGAGCTCATTGCAAAGTGAAGGTGGAGCCCCTGTCGGGGGCAAAGTCCTGAAGGTCTTTGATAGACTCGCTGGGTGAGGGTGGCTGTCAGCCCTGCTCAGCCTAGGTCGTGCCCAGTGATTAGCCAACAGAAGCCATCCTGGAGAGGGAGTGTAGAGAGAGACCAAGCCTCAAGGGGCCCCCTGTTGCTTGCCTGTGGTGACACCGGCTGAGAGCCACACTCAGGGAGATGCCCAGAGGCCACTGAAGGTAGGGATACAGTTGAGGAGAGGTGGCTCAAGGGCCCTGGTCACCTCGGGACCCATGGAGGCAGCAGTGTGTCCCCCAGCCCCCCCTGTAACACAGGACCTGGGAACATAGCCCACTGCGAAGGCTCCTGAATTGCAGTCAGGTTTTGCCCACTCAAACTGCCAAGCAGGCCAAGGCTTCCTTTTCCTAGAGTGCCAAGGGACTCTTGTACCCCTCGGAGGCCATTCCTAGGGCAGCGCCCTTCCTCCTGAACTGACCCCCTCCTCCCCGGCCAGACTCCTGCTTCTCCTCTAGAAAGTAGGTGGGGCAGTGAACCTTCTCTCTCTCCTAGGACAGTCCTTCCACTAGTCCTCAATGCCCCTGGGGATGTCACATGACGAGGTGAGCTCTCTGCCCATAGCCAGGGAGGACTGCCCACCATTTTGAGATGAGCAGTTCAAAGATCTCAGACCCAAAGGGGATATGAGCCCTTCCCACCGAGGCTGGGGTTCCAACTTGGCTCTATTTCTGCTCTTGTGGTGGGCCAGACTTCTAGCGTGCGGCTCTCAGGAGAGTAAGCCTTCTTTTGGCAGCAGGGTTGCAGGCGACTGTCTCCAGCATCCTCTCTTGTCCAGGATTATTGTTCAGGTCCCTCATCAAGTCTATCCCTGGGCTTCTCTCGAGTCCTTCACATCGTGGTGGCTGTGACGCTGCTGAGTGGGGGTGGGGTGGGCTCTGGTGGTAGCACTAGGAGTCCTCAGCCCTACGTCTGGTTGTGCAAGCAGGCCTGTGATCTGCTAGTAGAGCTGGAGACGGCGAGCTGGTGGGGGATGGGGTCTCTCCGGGGCCTGGCTCGAGTTCAGATTGAGTTCATCTTTCTTTTTCAGTCAGCAATCAGCTGGCTTCCTCTCCTCACCCCCACTTAGAGAGGAAAGGCCAGTCTCTGTGATCAGGTCTCCTGCTCTCTTGGAGCCTGGGCAGAGAAGAAGGGCTGCCCTGCAGGGAACTTCGCCTCCAGTCTGCCAAATGCCTTTGTGCAAGAAGCCCCCTGGTTCCGGAGCCCACTTAAGGCCTTGGCTGAACATAGACATGTCCATAGACCCTTCTCAACTTGCACCCCTGTCCTGTGGGAAACGGCTGTGTTCCCCTCTCTCCCAGGACCAGAAAGTCACCTTGAGGGGCAGGGGACAGGGCCTGATGCAGCTCACCTGTGGGGAAAGGAGGTTGGAGAGGTGGAGGAAGGCACGGCCACCGTGGGCCACCTGCCAGGGCATGACCAAGTCAGCAAGCTCTGCCCCTCCAGGCTAGGTACTTGAGAATGCATGAGTATTCCATCTCATCTAGGGGCTGGTGAGATCTCAGCCAGCAGAGGTGCTTGCCGACAAGCTGAATGGCCTTAGTTCAGTCCCTGAACCCACAAGGTAGGAGAGAATTGATTCCTGCAGGGGTGTCCTCTGACCTCCACCCAATGCATCCTGGTATTTGTGCACCCAATAAAGAAGTAAGTGTTAAAAAAATAAAACAATAAAACCTCAACTGGGCGGTGGTGGCGTAAGCCTTTAATCCCAACACTCAGGAGGCAGAGGCAGGTGAATCTTTGTGAGTTTGAGGCCAATCTGATCTACAGAGTGAGTTCCAGGACAGCCAGGGCTACTCAGAGAAACCCTGTCTCAAAAAAAAAAAACAAAAACAAAAACAAAAAACAAACAACAATGATAACATCAACAACAACAACAAAAAACCCAATAAACCTCATTTAAGTTCAATTGCTTAGGTGTTTAGTTTTGTTTTGTTTAGCAATAGTTCCCTGTCTCTGTAGCCCAGGCTGGCCTGGAACTTGCCATCACCTCCTCAATGCTGGAATTACAGCTCCACCACACCAAACAAGTTGCTTTTTTAATTCAATTCCAGTAGTAACCATGGCTCAGGGCTGGGTTTAGACAGAGCTAGTGCAGATATAGGTTCTTTTCATGCCAGGTAGAAGTGGCGACTGGAGCCGTGGACAGGGGAGGTTAACAGACCCAGGCAGGTAGAGTGGACTGCCCATTGGGTTTTTAGCAGGTCCTTGGTGCTTGTGGGGTGAGACTTGAGGTGGTTTGGGGAGTGGGGATGGCTCCAGATGGTTCCTAGGAGGAGGCCATAGTAGCCTAAGATGTTGGTCATTTTCTGGGGAGCCCGTGGGTTAGAATGAGCCCCCACTGACAGGCTGCTCGCTCTGCCCCACAGACAATGAGGTGCCCCGCGAGGTCCTTAGTTTCCACGGGGATGCTACCGGCACACAGGTGCATCTGGATGACCAGCGGAGCACAGCACATAGGCTCTCCACGTTTCATGATGGCATCGTGTTCAGCCATCGGCCAGTGTGGCCCGGTGAGCGTGTAGCGCTGCGCGTGCTGCGACAAGAGGACGGCTGGTGCGGTGGCCTCCGCGTGGGCTTCACGCGCCTGGACCCTGGACATGTGGCCGCATCCTGCCTGCCGCCCTTCGTGTGCCCCGACCTAGAAGAGCAGAGCCCCACGTGGGCAGCGCTGCTTCCAGAGGGCTTCGTTCGTGCAGGGAATGTGGTCTGCTTCTGGGTGAACCGTAGAGGCTGGCTCTACGCAAAAGTCAACGCTGGCCGTCCCCTCTTGCTGCGCAAAGACGTGCAGGTCCAGGGCGCCCCGCTCTGGGCAGTGATGGATGTGTACGGGACCACGAAAGCCATTGAGCTGCTGGGTGAGACAATCCTTGGGGTCCCAAGCACTGTGGTTCTGGAGGGTATGGCGTGGAGACAGAATTCCAGGTGGCTTCACGCACCTGTCTAGAGGCCCTGGTAGAACCGTTCATTCCTTCGTGCTCAGTATGCCATCAGCCCATGGCCAAATGTAAGGATGGGCACTGGAGACTCGAAATGGGCAAAAAAGCCTTAGCCTTGTCCTAAAGAATGGTAAGATATGACCAGTGCCCTAAGTAATATTAGAAGGCTGCTAGCGTCTCACAAAGGAGAAAGCATTTGGGTGGGACCTTGCTGCTTGAGTAGAAGTTCATCCATACGCAGGTGAAAAGCAAAAAAACAAAAAACAAAACAAACAAACAAACAAACAAAAAACAAGATGGGAGAGCTCTCACTGGGTTTGAAGGGTAGCATGCATGCACGTATGCGTACATGTGGATTCTTGGAGTTGATGTGCTGGCCCTCAACCTCCCTTTCTGCCTTAGATCCCAAAGCTGATGCCTGGATCATCAACGGAGAGGCTGTACCAGTGTCTGAAGGTGAGTGCATGTCCTGTCCAGGGATCCCAGCACCGAGTGGAGTGGCTGGGAAATCTGACTGTTCAAAGCCATCTTTCCCACCATTTACTGCCGGCTAGATCAATGTGATGTTCCTGCCTTTTAGATCATTCCCAATTATATTCATGAAGAAACCTGCCCCCCCCTCTGAAACAGTCTCCTGTGGCCTAATCTAGCCTCACATTTACTCTAAACACTCTTTCAAATGCTGGGATCACGACCTAGTTTAATCTCATTCTTTCTTTCTTTCTTTCTTTCTTTCTTTCTTTCTTTCTTTCTTTTTGCTTTTGTTTATTTCTTGAGAGAAGATTTCTCTGCATCATCTTGCTGTCCTGGGACTAGCTCTGTAGAATAGGCTGGCCTGGAATTTACAGAGATCTACCTGTTTCTGCCTCCCAAGTGTTGGGATTAATGGTGGGGGCCACCACCACCCAGCTAGCACTACTGGTTTTATCCAGTGCTGGAAATGGAAATCAAATACAGGGGCATGCCAAACAAGCACTCTACCAGCTGAACTGTATCCCCAGTCGTGAGTGCTTGAGTGAGTGCGTGAGTGCTTGAGTGAGTGCATGAATGAGTGCGTGAGTGCATCGTGCGTGCGTGCGTTGTGTGGAGTCCAGAGTCAGAGCTCAGGTGTTTTCTCCATCATCCTCCACCTTGGCTTTTGATACAGGCTCTCTCACTGAACCCGGGGCTCACTGATTGACTAGACTGGCTAGACAGGAAGTTCCCGGGACTCTTCTGTCTCCACCTCCCCAGCACATGCTTGTCCTTTCACGTGAGCTCTGGGGACTCAACCCAGACCAAGCGGGCACTTTACCAACTGAGCCATCACTCTAGCTAGCCACTAAAATGCTTTCCTGCCCTGTGCTAACAGCGTGAGTAGGTAGGTGGCCTACCCTATGTGTGTCCCTGACCCAAACTGTCTCCTTTCCCAGTCACACCGGGAGAGGAGTGTGTCATCTGCTTCCACAACACCGCCAACACCCGCCTCATTCCCTGTGGCCACTCACACTTCTGTAGCTCCTGTGCCTGGCACATCTTCAAAGACACGGCCAGGTGCCCCATGTGCCGCTGGCAGATTGAGGAGGTGGCTCTAGAACCTTCACTGAAGACTGGAGAAGGCTCCTGAAGAGAGAGCTTCCTGCAGTGGGTGGCAGACAGGACCTGGCTCTGAGACAGGAGAAGCCTCTCTCTGGACATGGGTCAGCAAGCACGGTCACGGGTCACCAAGCCTGATCTCGGGTCACCAACCCTTGTTAGCCGTGAGGGATGCTCAGAGACTCTTTCCCCAGCCAGAAGTTTGGAGGAAGTTGATATGACAAAGAGAAATCTTTCTGGCCACGTTGGCAAGTCCCCAGTGTAGTAGGGGCAGCCTGAGTCCTCATGCTACAGCTGAGGGTATGAAGGGATGGGTTTGTGTCTGGCAGAGGCACCAGAAGCCAGGACATGTGTTGTGGTGATTTCCCTGTTGATTTGTGAGATAGCAAAATAAAGTTTGTTTTTGTATTGATTGTCTCCATTCATACTCAGTGGGAGGAGGTGGCACTCTGAACTGGTTAAGACATTTGGGGACATGCTGTCATTCTGCCCTCCCTGACCACACTGATCTTACGGTAAGGACTGCATGGGGCTTTGGGCACCCAGGTCCATGGGTTCTATCACTGAACATAGCAGGGATTGGGGCAACGCTCCCAGCTTTCCGGTCTCCACCAGACCTTGCCCTTGCCAGCCTAGGTTCTGGGGACGTCAGGAAGGTCTGACACTGACAGAAAGCAGGTATTAATGGCCAAGAAGCCACAACCTGGGACTCACTCTATGGAGGAACCCCTATCCCCAGCACATTTGTCAAATGTTAATTGTAAGTTAGTTGTAGCACAAATTCTAATCAGTATTAATAATAAAAACTCAGAGTCAGATATTAGGGGAGAAAGCTGGAAGATGAGAGAAGCAGAGTGACCAGTCACTAGAGAGTTCTTACCTCTGCCAATACTCAGACCAAAGGGGCGGTGCTGTCCGCAGACTGCATCTCCAGATTGACTCTTCCTCAGACTGCTTCAGCCTGGCTGCCTGCCTCCTCAGACTGATTGCTCAGACTGTGGCCCCTCAGATTGCATTGAGCTCCTGTCTCCTCCGGCCTTACATTCCTCTCTCTGTCCAGACTTACCATTCCTGTCTCCACCTCCCTAGTGCTGGGATTAAAGGCATGTGAGCCCAAGTGCTGGGATCACCTTTGCGTGAGCTCTGTTTCTCTTTTAGACTGGATTGATTTTGTGTCACTCAGGGTGGCCTTGAACTCACAGAGATCCATCATCTGCCTGTCTCCTGGAAGCTGGGACTAAAGGTGTGTACCACCACTGCCTGGCCTCTATGGCTAACTAGTGTGGCTAGCTTTGCACTCTGATCTTCAGGCAAGCTTTATTTGTTAGATCATAAACAAAGTATTACCACAATTAGTTTATATTATTTAAACTGATACTGGGGGACCAAAAGGTTGAAAGGAGCCTCTGAGAGATAAGATTTCTGTAGAGGATTTTGGGAATTTCTGCTGTGTTCCTAAGGATCTACAAGGCTTGCACATGCTCAGATAAGGCCTGGAAGAATCCCCAGTCTCTCAATTCTGGCTGATCTTGAGGCCTTGTGTAAAAAGGAGGTGAAGGCTAAAATATACCTGTAAACTGCCTAAGGACTGAAGGTGCCTCAGCCCCAGAGTCCCTTGGCAAAGTGTAGGCACTTACTAGGTGAAAGCAGTGTTTAAAAATCTCTGCACCATCATTAGCTGGCCAGTAAGCTATCTACTGAGAGTTCAGTTGGTGGCATGTAGCAGGGGAGCCTGACTCTACAGAGTTCACACACACACACACACACACACACACACACACACACACACACACACACCATTGAGGACAATAGGATAGCAAGAACACTAAACCTTTGAGTGGATGTGCTTTATTCTTCAGAGCTGCCAAACCATATTGTCTAAAGAGATACTTGTTTTCATATGTGAGAGCTGGAAATAAATGAAAGCATGGCTTATGTTTATGGCATCATTGGTTGCTCGAAACAGTCCTTGATAGAGCCCAGCTGTTAGGTTTACTAGACAAATACTTTAATTCAGGAGGTTAAAGAATGTTAAAGGTCTAGGAATTAAAGGAGGGCTGTGGATGTAGCTCAGTGGAAGAGTGCTTGCTTCACATGTCAAGGCTCTGCATTCAATTTCCAGCAACACACACACACACACACACACACACACACACACACACACACACACACACCTAAGCTTAGAGCCTCCACCCTAAGTGGGATAAAATTGCAGTTTATACCATGAACCCTTTTCCCTGACTCCCTACAGAAAGCTAGTTCCTGAATCAATTCTTTTCATCAGGCCACCAGGCAGAGGTAGTTGCTCCCTTCTGTTCTCCCAGTTATAAACTGCTGGGAATGATCTAAACAAATTTCTGTGTTTCACAGAAGTCTGTAGGAAACGCCTCAGGAACCAGGCACTTAGATAAAACATAGAAAATAAGTGGATCAAACTGAAGACTGACATGAAGCTTTTCATGTCTTCACCACAGTTAATGTTAGAAATAATCTGGTGTTTCGAAAGAGAACACATGGACAGAAAGTGAGAATATCGCAGCAAGGTGATTATTTTTGTAAAAAGGGTGCATCAGTGTCCAAGACAGGCTAGTAACATACCGGGCCAACACGGATCCCATCTTTTATCTATGATGTAGGTGGTGGCCATGTTCCATCCCATTTGTGGAAATTAAACTTCATAATCCAACCAGATGGATTAATTTGTGTGAAGAGGAAAATTCAGGAGCTATGAGTCCTTCCCAGGCGTTAGAGTCCTTTGTGTTAGAAAAAAAATTCTCACAACAGGGCACTGATGATGGACCCAAGAAGCCACCCCCTAAGTCTACTTACTGAAGCAGTGAGCTTGCTGACTATGGATGAGGGGGTTCCTGCAAGGATGAGCAGCATGAACGACTCTTTACACCCAGTTTTATAAGCTGGTGGCCAGAAGAGGTTAGAGATGTGAGCCTCAGGCCAAACTGTGAGTCTTGGAGGTCTGCCCAGGGGCAGGAGCAAGGAAAAAGTGAAAACTTGGGTCAGAGAAGCCAGGCAAAGCTTGCAGCCTGGTGATTGCTGTTTGGGGACAGGAAGCCTGTGCATCCGAAAGCCGAAAGTCGTGTGTGACTTCCTTTACCCAGCAACCACTGCGATGATAGATTTAAGTCATCTTCGTGCAGAATCTGGAATCGCCTGGGAAGGGAGTCTCAGTGTGGGAGTGTCTACTTGAGGTTGGCCTGTCGGCCGGCCTGTGAGGAATTTTCCTAACTCGGTTAATTGCATTGGGAACCTACTTTGAATGCGGGTGGCACCATTTCATGAGCTGGGTCCCTAGACTGAAAAGCAGAGTGCCCCACCCCTGCCCCCGCCCCCGCCACGCATGCGTGCAAAAAGGCACTCAGCGATCTGCTTCCTGACCATGGGCACATTTGGACCAGCTGTCTCAAGTTCTACTCTTGACTCCCTGGAAATGATGACCTGTAACCCACAACTGTGGGCTAAATTAAGCCCTTCCTCACATAAGTTGCTTTGGTCGGGGTTTTTTTTTTTTTTTTAATCACAGAGTTAGAAATATTTATGAGGTTGCAAAGAAGGAAGACACTACGAAAGTATTTTGTCTGTGTCCTTACACTTCTGCACAAGAGTTGTTACCCACAAAGGTGGTGACACAAGGCGGGGTTGGGGGAGTCTTTCTGGTTTTATCCCTGATGTAAAAGGGAACCTGGGCTGTTCCTCACTGGTCCAAGTCCAACCACCAAATCCACACCCCAGTTGCTAATCAAAGAATCGACGTAGGGTGAGGGAAAAAAAAATTACAGCACAAGATTTTTTTCTGTGTAAGGAGGAAGTAGGGTCAGGAAATGGTGGCTTGGAGCCAGCCAAAAGCTGAAAAACAACTTTTGTGGCTTGATAAAAGAGGAAGTGGGACACATTTTGAAAGAGAAGATAATTGTTGGTTGCATCTGAAAAGGGCAACTGGGAAAGAAACGGAGCCAAACACTGTACATATTGTAGCTATATGTCAGCCCCCTCCATCCTTCAAGGAGTCCACCGAGGCTAACAAGGGATCTGCCTCAAATGCAATAGCAAGCTCACTATCAAGAGAAGCCCAGCATTCGAGGAACATGGATGCTGTGGAAAAAAAAAAACACCCATTTCCACAGGTTACATTCATAGTGGAAGAAACAGCTAGTAGGGCCGACAGACCTGTATACTCCCACAGCTGTGATTAGAAGCTCTGAAAAAATCCAGACATCTTGGGAATTAGAAACTTGATAACTGGAAACTGAAACTTAGTCAACTGAGAGGAGCAAAAGAGGCCACAGCAGTAGAGTGTGTTAACAGCCTGGAATCATCTAGATTGCCCTGCAGAGTAACTAAGGGATGAAATGGGACAAGGAGAATGGTGCAGAGTTCAAAAGCCAACCTCCTGTGGCAATCCATTTCACAGGAGTGCTGGAGGGGGCAAACCACCGTAGCAACCTACAAATGGCCAACAGGGATATGAGAACCAGCAAAACTTCACCAACAACAGGAAGATACAAACCCAAGCCACAATGAAACGTCAGCTCACCCCTGAAAGGGTGACCATTATCAAAGAACTCAAGAGGGAAATGTTTTTAAGGACGTGAAGAAATGAGAGCTCTTATTCATTGTCACTGGGGTATAAATAGTATGAAGGCTCCTCAAAAATAAAACATCCAGCAGTTCTACTGGGCCTGCATCCAAAGTCAATAAGCCAGATTTGGAAGTATATTTTTCCACTGCCATGCTCAGCACAACATTATTCACAGTAGTCAAAATACAGGGACAATTTAAATGCCTAGTTGACAAGTGAGTAGATAAATAAAATGTGATGGGGAATTTTATTATTCTTAATATTTTGTTTATTATTATTCAACCTTAGTGAAGTGGGACTCACTAACTGCACACTAAGTGGAATCAGCGAGACTGGGTCGGATAATTCCCAGGAGAGTCAGCTCTGAAAGGCAAAGGCACAGCAGGTGACTCCAGTTAGTAAGACGGACTGTGTGAGTGGGATTTGCCAAGGAATAGACCCTCCATTTTCTCATCCCAACCAGAAATTGGCAAGTATGAGAAATGATAGGAAGGCAAATGAGCTTGATTGTGGCAATTGTTTTATAATATATACCAAAACATTGCATTGCACACCTTAAAAATATGCAATTTTCAATGTCAGTCACAGTTCAGTAAGGCTGAAAGAAAATAAAGACAGATATATAGTTTCTGTGGCTGAATGGGGGAGGTCTGGCCTGACATCCAAGATATTATAGCCTGCTGGTCCTGGGGACAGGGTCAACACCTCATGGTCTTGGTTGGTCAGTGTGGAGGTGGGGTTGGGCTGAGGTGACACAATATCATGAGGTGCCAGTATCGAAAAGATGATGGCCCCTGAAATCCAGTGTTAAAAAAAATAGAACTGCAGTAGTAACACTGAGTAATATTGATCATCTTTCCAGAAAGACGATCCCTAGGACCATGAAGGGGGTTGAGACATCTACAACACAGGTTGGCTTCTTACACAAGCAGAATGGCTGCACAGCTGGGAAAAGTTCAGGGAACTGTGTAAGGTGGTCTGCTGAAGCAAGTTCATCACCCTGGCCAGACCCTTGTTAAGGAAACAGCACCCCTGGAACTGGGTCCTGGGACAGGGAGAATAAGGAAAACGAATGGGCCTGTGCACTTGTATGCCTGGGGAACTACTCCACAAGCACAGAGCCACTCTGGTTCACCAGACAGAGAGAGAGAGAGATAGCTTGTTATCCAAACACAGGCTTTTCTTCTGAGGTGTCTCTGGGCTGTGAAACAGAGGCTCCAGTGTTGTTCAATGGGAATGTTAGACTGCACGAGGCTTCAGCTACCTGGAAAAAAGAGGAATGGAAATGAACTTGTAGCTTGTTTGGTTTCGGGGTACCTTCTTTTCAACAGATAGTTTACAGAAATAAAATCTATCCGTCTTCCTAGCCTGCAGCGGAGACCTGGTGCCTTAGTGATGTCATCACTGGAGAGCAAATCTGAAGCTGATGTAATAGTTTTTGTTTGTTTGCTTTTGGTTCTTCAAGACAGGGTTTCTCTGTGTAGCCCTCTCTGGCTGTCCTGGGACCTCACTTTGTAGAGCAGGCTGGCCCGGAACTCACAGAGATCGATCTGCCTCCACCTCCCGAGTTCTGGGTTTAACGACACGCACCAGTGCCTGACCTTTCTCTCTTCTTCCTTTCTGCTCTTTTTTCTCTGGCACTGATGATAAACCCCTCAGGCACAAGTCCTCCACTTCTGAGCAAAACTCTGCTTTGATTTTTATAAGACATGGTTTACTATGTAGTCCAGGCTAGCCTTGAACTCACTTCATAGCCCAGGCTGACCTTGAACTTGAAATCCTTCTGTCTTCACCTCCCAACTAGTGCTGTCAGGTCTGACTTTCCTGTTTCTGACATCTTGGATGTGATATATAGTCAACGTCATGCAGATTAAAATACATAGATTAATGTGTATATGGCATTTGCACACACATGTTAATGTGTAACGAAATGAAGGTTCACCTTGGAAAGAAAGGCGTTTTACTTACGGTTTTTTTTTTTCATATGATGGGAACGCATTTTCTTTCGGTTAGGAAACACTGACAATTCCTCGGAAAGCATAGTTACCGGATGAGCCAGCAGTTCCAGTCCTGGCATATGCCAAGCGGCCTGAAACAAACACACCCACACAGAGCAAAGGTTCTGAGAAGAGCCATCCATCCATTCATAGTTGCCCCAAGGTGGAAACGAGCCAAATGTGCTCCAGCTGACGAAGAGACAGCGAGGTAGTGCGTAGCCACAGCTGCGGAGAATTACTGGGCCACGAAAACTATGGGAACAACTAATTCATGCCCCGAGGGTGAACCCTGCGAACTCACCGAGAGAAGGAAGCCCATCGCATAGGTACATGTGGGGGCTGGAGAGGACCCAAGTTCAGTTCTTAGCACCCATGTCAGATGACTCACAACCGCTTTAACTTCAGCTCTAGGGGACTGACACCTTCCTCTGGACTGCTCTGGCACTCACGCAGGTATACACGTAAGCAACAGAAATGATGATGATGACGATGATGACGATGATGATGATGAAGGGGTGGATAGATGACCCCAATGGTTGGGAACATTTGCTCTTGCCAAGGGCCCACATTTGATTTCCATCACCCACGTGCTGGTTCACATCCAGCTGTAACTCCAGGCCAGGAGATCTGATGTCCTCCTCTGACCTCCTTGAGCACCAGGCACATACATGCTACACACATATAAAATACTCATACACACAAAATAAACCTTAAAAAATAGTAATGGGGGCTGGAGAGATGGCTGACTGCTCTTCCAGAGAGAGGTCCTGAGTTCAATTCCCAGCAACCACATGGTGGCTCACAATCATCTGTAATGAGATCTGGTGCCCTCTTCTGGCCTGCAAGCATACATGCAGACAGAGCACTGTATAATTAATTAATTAATTAAAAATAGTAATAAAACAAAAAAACCCCGAAGAGTCACATGTTACATGAGCCCATATCCACAACAGGAAACGGGGACACAGAAATTAGTGGGGGGCAAGGGCCGGGAAGAGGGAGACCTGGGACGGAAACTAAGGATGTGGGCTGAGAATGCGGCAGTGGCTACAATGCTCGCCTGGCGGACGTGGGGCTCCGGGTCCAGTCCTCAGCACTGCAGACACCAGGCATGGTGCTGCACACCTGCAACCCCAGCAAGGGACGCAGAGAGGAGAGGATGAGAAGTCCAAAGTCATGAAGTAAGGTGGAGGTCCCCGAGGGTTAGAGACCTTGTCTCAAACAAAACAAAACTAAGGATGCTGTTCGCACAACGAGACGAGGAAAGTAGTCTTGGTCTTGCTGATGGCCACACAACTTTGAAGGTATTGGCATGTTTTTAATTTGTTGGGTTTTTTTGTTTGTTTGTTTGTTTGTTTGTTATGTTTTTAAGATAGGGTCTTACTGTGTAGCCCAGGCTAGCCTGGAACTCATGGTGATCCTCCTGTCTTAGCTTCCAAGTGCTGGGATTTCAAATGTGAGATGCCACAGTGAACTGTAATTGACACATTTTTAAGAAGATGGTTATGGGGGCTGGAGATATGGCTCAGCGGTTAAGAGCATTGCCTGTTCTTCAAGAGGTCCTGAGTTCAAATCCCAGCAACCACATGGTGGCTCACAACCATCTGTAATGAGATCTGGTGCCCTCTCTTCTGGCCTGCAGGCATACATGCAGACAGAACATTATATCCATAATTAATTATATATATAATTAATGAAGGAAGATGGTTATGGTCTCTGAGTTATATCTCAACAACAAAAAAATTATCAGCCAAACCAAAAACCTTCACAATACTGAATGAAGCACAACCCTCAGGAAGACAGAGAACAGGGTAATTGCACAATCCCTGGGAAGACAGAGACTGGGGTCCTGCACAACACGGCCCCTAGGGAAATGGTACCTCAGAGAGTCAACGGTAAGTGTGGGCATGGAGAGGGGCAGGGTCCTGTGGAGGGAGTTCAGGCTGAACCCAGTCTGGCGGTAATGAAGATGTTCCAGTGAGACACTTGTGTCTCTCAGTCTGGCCATCAGAGCATTGAAACAAAGGACCCACAAGATGAGGACTCCCCCAGGAAAAAGAAAAGGCCCTGGCCATGGGCAGGGGAGCAGAGCTTTTATACTAGCAACAGATATTCCACACAGTCCTAACAATCTGTCAGACTATCTTACATGATGAGACTGAAGCCCAGAGGTGATGGGTGTATGGTAGGCAGGACCACACCTTGACCGAACTGCCTAGATGCACATATTCCTAGCCCTTTATTTAAACTTCAGTCTTATTTCAGGACTCCCAAAATGGACACGATTCCCAACGTGGCCACACTGAATAAATCTCCCCTTTCTGCCTATTGCTATTAATTTGGCTGTTCTAGTTGGGTACTTGGGAATAGGTGGCCAAACTTGGATTCTTGAGGTACAGAGTGTGGCTCCCGCGTTCGGCGACAAGCCTGGCCAAAGCATCAGTAACGGGAGCCCAGGGAGCACAGGGAGCACAGGGAGCACTGTCTGTCCCGTCAGTCTTCAGGAGAGTCAAGTGGCAAGGTTGTGCCACAGTTGGGTGCTAATCCCATCCAGGCCTGATCACTCATTGTGTCTGCTGGGTGACGCTGGCCACCGTTAAGTTTCATTTTCCTGGAAGCTGCTTTGATTTCTAGGTTGCTGGGATGGAAGGGAATTGGACCAAAACAAACAGGGAGTATTTAGTTGATCAACCTCTAAAGGACCTTGGCAGGGAGAAAGGAAAGCAAATCCCCATGCAGGACTGTTAGTGTGGTGCTTGCAGGAAGCTGCCTGGCCCAGTCCTGGGACTGCTGAGGGGCTTTCCTTGAGCCAGAGGAAATTCCATGTTTCAGCCAGGTGTTTGGCAGACCTGCTTTTAAAAAACCCTCTTTCCATACAACCTGGTCCCATGTGGTCTTCAGTCCCGGCTGCAGCCCAGCACTACAGCAGAGGCACCCGCTTTAGATAAGCTGCTTAAAAATTCCAGGTTAGAAGGTCATGTCTGACGTGCCTGAGGCCACACAGCAGTCCTCCGCATAGTTGAAACAAGACCTGGAGTCTCAGCCAGCCAGCCAAGAGAGAGACCTTTGCTTCAGGACGGGCCCTTTATGATTTTGAGGCAGGATGGGAAGGCAGACAGTGGGGAGAACAGAGAGGAGTCCTCACCTAGAAAAAGCTTCCGGGGAAGTTGTTCACAATCTGAGGATCAAGGATTCCAGCATCCTTTAGACCTTTCTCGTTCCCCAGACGTAATTCTGTGAATTTCTAGGAACCCATCAGAAACCGTATTTATGACAAAATAAATGTCCCAACCCTAGTTGATCATATTTTTTTTCTGATTGGAATCCCATCCAATGTACCTCCAGGGCCATCCTATATCGCATTTATCAAAAAGAGAGAACGAAAGAGGGAAAAAGAGAAATGTTTATTGGCAAACTTTTGAAAGCCATCAAAATGGTCTCTGGGGTTAACACTTAGACACTAAACTGGGACTCTCCGAGAAACCTATTGGACTTAGGTTATATCTTTCTTCTCAAGCTCTTCTCTTTCCCTTTGTCCTCATGCTTAAGATCTAGTTTAAAAGCCAGATGTATCGGTGCATGCCTTTAATCCCAGCACTCAGAAGGCAGAGGTAGGCAGATTTCTGTGAGTTCAAGGCCAGCCTGGTTTACGTAGTGAGCTCCAGGACAGTCAGAGCTACACATTGAGACCCTGCCTTGAAAGAAAACAGAAACAAAAACAAACAGATCTAGGTTTAAAATGACTTAATGTGGCACTGGAGAGATGACTCAGTAGTTAAGAGCTCTTGTTGCTCTTGTACAGGATCAGGGCTTGGTTCCTAGTATCCTACAAAGTAGTTCACAACCATCTGAGATTCCAGTTTCAAAGGATTCAATGCCAAGGCATGCATGTGGTGTACACACATGAATTTAGGCAAGACATCCATGTGAATAAAAGTTAAAGATTACACACACACACACACACACACACACACACACACACACACACACACTTAATCCCAGTATTCAGAAGGCTGAGTCAGGGTCTCTTATGGGTTTGAGGCCAGCTTGGTCTACATAGTGAGTTCCATGTTAACCACTGTCTCCAAACCAAACCAAACCAAGCCAAACCAAACCAGGCTTAAAGATCTTGCTGTGCGAACATGAGGACCTGAAGCCAGCCCAGCTCAAGCATGGCTGCCTATGCCTGTAACCCTGGTGCTGATGAGGTCAGGGAACCATGACAGGAACATCAGTGAAGCTTGTTGGCCAGCAAACCTAGCCAATTTGGTAGCTCCCAGGTTCAGTTATAGACATAGTCTCAAAAAAATAACAAAAACAAATAAATAAAATCTTTTTTTTAAGATTTATTTATTTATTACATATACAGTGTTCTGCCTACATACAGAAGAGGACACCAGATTGAATTGTAGATGGTTGTGAGCCACCATATGGTTTCTGGGAATTGAACTCAGGACCTCTGGAAGAGCAGTCAGGACTCTTAACCTCTGAGCCATCTCTCCAGCCCATAAATAAAATCTTTTAATAGACCCCCAACTCTGCTTCATATTGTGTTGCCCAGAGTTTCTTTCCTGTTTTAACTGGGTTGAAGTCCCGAAAAGATTAAGAGAAATTTCAGTCTGCTGCAGTGACATCATGGAGCTGTGCACTGACAGTTTGCCATGGACTCAGAGGCCGGGGAAATGGCCCGGAGGATAAAGCATGTGTCATAAGTGTGATGAGCTGGGTTCCTTTCCCTGGAATGCAGTAGGGCACTCATCTGTCATTCCACTGTCCCCAGGGGAGATGGACACAGAAGAGTCCCCTGAAACTCATAAGCTTGCCTGGAGTGCACAGTGGCAAACAACGGAGAGGCTCTGTTTCAAAAAGTTTAAGCTGAAGCCTGACAGCTGTCCTCTGACCTTTACGCGTGTGTCATGGCACTGGTGACTGTGTGCCACCCCTGTACACATACGCACAGGGAGAGAGGGAGGGAGGGAGAGAGGGGGAGGGAGACAGAGGGAGGGAGGGGGAGGAAGAAGGAGGGAGGGAGGGAGGGAGGGAGAGGAAGGGAGGGAGGGAGAGGGAGGGAGGGAGAGGGAGAGGGAGGGAGGAAGAGAGAGGGAGGGAGGAGGGAGGAAGAGAGAGAGGGAGGGGGGAAGGAGTAGGACAGAGGGAGGGAGGGAGAAAGGGAGGGAGGGAGAGGGAGGGAGAGAGGAGAGAGAGAGAGAGGGAGGGAGGGAAGGAGTAGGACAGAGGAAGGGAGGGAGGGAGGGAGAGAGAAAGGGAGGGAGGGAGAGGGAGGGAGGGAGAGAGAGGGGAGGGAGAGAGAGGGAGGGAGGAGGAAGAGAGAGAGGGAGGGACTAGGATGGAGGGAGGGAGGGAGAGGGGAGGGAGAGAGAGGGAGGGAGGAGGGAGGAAGAGAGAGAGAGAGAGAGAGGGGAGAGAGAGAGAGGGAGGGAGAGAGAGAGGGAGAGAGGGAGGGAGGGAGGGAGGAAGGGAGGGGAGAGAGAAAGAATATGAATATATGAATCCTGGCTCAGGAACAGAATTTGTAGCCCCATACAAAGTCTTCAAAATAGAAGATACCCATT